AAACCAACAGGACTTGCTGACAGATTGGACGTGGGGTGTGAGAGGCAAGAGGTGGAAAATGACTCCCATCTTCCGTCCAAGTAACAGGAAGGGAGGGGCCCCGTCCGTGACCAGGGGAGGCCTGCGTGGGACAGGCCTGGGGGAGGAGATCAGGAGGTGGGTTTGGGAAGTGTTAAGCTTGAGAAGCCTGTTGGGCATCCAAGAGAAGCCGCGTGTCTTTGCTGGCTATTAATACTTCACGTACCTCAGTGTTCGCAGAGCTCTCCAAATGTATCGGCTGATGGAGGAGCGAGGAAAATTATTCAACTATTAAGAGCAATGAGTGTCAGATGCTTCTATTTTATTTTATATATAGATGTTTGGGGAAGAAAAGGCACAGAGAGATACCAAAATAGTAGCAGCAGGTAACGGGATTGGGCTTCCGAGTGATTTTACCTAAATTTCTTTTTCCTTTTGAGAATGTGCACTTCCTAATATCTCTACAAAGTAATTTATAGGACAGGGAGATTTGCTCTCAAGAGCGAGAAGACCATGACTTCGATCGATAAATCGTAATTATTTTTTCCAACCATTACCGAGTTGTTGAATCCCTGGATTGTTCACAGGTTTTTTTCTTTGTGCATAGGAACACAGGGAGCAGATGGCTTTCTTTTCTTCTCAAGTATTTTCTCATGTTCTACTCCCAAAATTCGGAATAACAGACTAAAAGAAAGACTTGTCGCTCTTAAATACTGCCAGATTATTCTGCAGAAAAACTGAACCGATTTAGAATGTCAGCAACGAAAACATTGACAGACAACCTATTGGGAAAGATATCGTCCCCTGCTGCGTCAGGATGGGTTTCGATTGCACACCAGAAAAGTACCAGCCTTTCTTCATCCACCACGGCGCGGGTGGGGGGTTATAAAAGGCTTCATGCAAGTCTTCCCTGCTTTCCAGGTGTAGGAATCGGCGTGGTCCACGCTGGGTACGAGAGACGCCTGGCCCATCACCTGGGAGCACACAGCACACCCTCCATCCTAGGAATCATAAATGGGAAGATCTCCTTCTTCCATAATGCAGTCGTCCGTGAGAACCTACGACAGTTTGTAGAAAGTCTTCTTCCAGGGAACTTGGTGGAGAAAGTAAGTACCCAGCGGAGAAGAAATTTACGAGGTACCGGGACCCCTGGCTGTCCCGAACTCTTGTCCGCAGTCCTCTCAGGCCTGAGTGTCGTTTCAAACAGGGCAAGACATATCTTACTTAATTAATCGTTCACCCGAAATCATTTCAATGAAGTCAGTAGGAGACTGAAAATCGAAACAAAGTAGAACAACCGAACGAATCTCTGCCTGTTAGTAACCACTGTGCACATATACACAGAGGTGGGGATCTGAGCCTAAAACGACAGGGGCTCTCTTTTTGTGAGCAAAACTCAGATCACAACGTAGGATGAGGGATTTCTTTCTGACTGGTGAATTTGAAGGTATTTGTCTATGAAAGTATTCAAATTGAATTACATTTGGTTACATGACACTGACGTGCGGCCTACTGCTCTAAGGAGGCACCTTACGTTTGGTTACGTACTTAATCACATCTGTGGAATACGCAAGATTCCACAAAATCAAGTAGTATTTTTGGAACTTTCAGAACTTAGAGTAATGCAACGATATGAATAATTTCACAAACAAAGGGTTGAGCTAAAAAAGCCAGGCACAAAGAGCTCATACTAGTTTACGATTTTTTATACCTAAGTATTCTTTCCCCCAGTGTCTGAGGTTAGGGATCAAAGGAACTAGAACAGGATTTTTTTGTTTTAATTAATGCGTTAAGTTTATATATTTTTTAAATTTTTTTTTTCAACGTTTATTTATTTATTTTTGGGACAGAGAGAGACAGAGCATGAACGGGGGAGGGGCAGAGAGAGAGGGAGACACAGAATCGGAAACAGGCTCCAGGCTCTGAGCCATCGGCCCAGAGCCCGACGCGGGGCTCGAACTCACGGACCGCTAGATCGTGACCTGGCTGAAGTCGGCCGCTTAACCGACTGCGCCACCCAGGCGCCCCATATATTTTTTAAATGTTTTATTTATTTTTGAGAGAGAGAGAGAGAGAGAGAGAATGAGCAGGGGAGGGGCCATGAGAGAGGGGGACAGAGGATTCAAAGCACGCTCTGCACTGACCGTAGTGAGCCCGATGAAGGGCTCGAACTCACAAACCGTGAGATCATGACCTGAGCTGAAGTCGGACGCTCAACCGCCTGAGCCACCCGGGCACCCCAAGAACAGGATTCTTGTTTGCTTTAAGTGATTCAGTCCTTTAACTATATACCAGGGAGAGTGAACATACCAACATTTGCATCCTGTTTCCACATGCACTATTCATAGACTACCCCGCCAGCATCGTTATCCACAGAAGAAATATTCATTGGAGTTAGTGTGAAAGGAAATTGTCAAAGGGAATTTTGAACAATCACAGGTTGTTCAAATGGGTCCTCAGACGTTTATGAAATACCTATTCTATGCCAAGCACTGTAAGTGGATACTTTTCAAGGAGCTCCCAGTCTAGTGGGTGATTATTTCCGTCTGATATGCTAAGAGCCTGTCCTTGAGAGCTGGGAATGGCTTCCTGGCCAGAGTTTGCCAAGGGAGGAGGAGACGTGGTAGGGGGTGAGTTCCAGGCCCCAGGAGGTCTGGGACAGGCAACAGCCTGCTCTGGATGAAGCAGTCACTAGTGAGCAGGAGAGGACCAGATGAGAGGCATTAACAGGAATCTCGAGGACTTCCGAGGGCCTGGCTACCCCTTTGAGGAACTTGGGCCTTGGCTGGAGCCATTGAAGGGGGCTGAGCAGAGAGTGAAGTGCCCAGACTGAGGTTTAATATAGATCATTCTGGAAGCAGAATGGAAAGATAAATCTTTTTTTAACTATGAAAAGTTTCTAGGTAGAATTTTAATTTATTCATGTTTCTTCTTCTCTCGGTGGGATTATTTAAGGCATAAACAGGGAAGCACAAAAGTAGCAAATCGGATGGTAATGAATGAAATCGTGTAACATATAGACTGAGTGGGCCCACTTGTTTTTTTAAAAGCCATTTTGAAGGAGCAATCATTGCACTATCTTCCGCAGGTTAATAGATTACGAAGCACAGTCTAAAATTCGAAAGTTCGATTTTTTTTTTATAGCGTACTCAGCAATTGTTTCAGAAAAGATACAATTTCAGTCTGTCAGAGTGGGGCACCTGAAAACACGAAATCGATAACTCTGTTCTTTTAAAGCATTTTAGTCAAAGAAAGACAAAAGACTCATCGTCTGCATTTATTTTTTACAAAACAATCTTTTACACATACGTGATTTTTGTCTCACGATCTCCTGACTGCCTTACAATGCGGCTGTTGAGAACCAAATACTGAAACTGACATCCTCTTTTCAACTTAAGGTAACAAATAAAAATTATGTCCGATTCCTCTCTGGCTGGCAGCAAGACAATAAACCTCACGTCCTTCTGTTTGACCAAATGCCCGTCGTACCACTGCTGTACAAGGTATTTTGCGTGCCGGGGGAACGTTTGCTCTTCTGTTGGTGCAGTGAACTTGCAAGGTGCTTGCCCTTCCCGCGAGTAAGAGCTGATCCAAAAAGAAGCGTTTATAAAGACCAGAAATGGGCATTAACCACCATACACGGAGCACCTATGGGTGGCCTTACTGCGCTAGTGTGCCTTCCCCACGCGTGCCAGTATTTAGTCCTCAGAAGAGCCCAGCGATACAGAGACCATCCGTGTTTTATAGACCAAGACATTGAAACTTAGGTTGTAGAACCGACCCCCGGGGTGACTGTGTGATTCCCTTGAAGCCTGTCTGGACCCGGACCCGCCCCCTGAGTGACACCCTGTGGTCCTGCACTTGCGGCACACCTCTGGCTAGCGCTGGGACCTGAGATGCGAGAGGAGAGTGTCCCCCTTGACCTTGGGCCCAGTCACTGCCATCGTACAGGGTTGAGGTAATGCCTCAAACACTCCACACCTCCGACTCAGTGCAGTTCTCAGTAAAATGAATATTTTCCTCTCTTTGTACACACACACACACACACACACACACACAGAAATCCCTGTGTTTGGCTTTGTTGGTACAGTTTGCATGCGTGGAACACCATAGAATTCCTCCGAGTGCACCAGGGTCTAGCAGCCTGAGTGGGGCTATACAAGCTAACATTCGTCAGCCGCTGGTATGAATGAGTCACGCGTGGTGCATGCAGTTCCGTGCCCTCAACTTAATTTCTTCCTCTCTGTTGCACCCTAACAGTTGACCGCTTTTGCATACAAGGATTACTTGTCATTTGGATACGTACATGTCGGCTTGAGAGGGGCAGAAGAGATAACAAGGCAATACAACGTCAATATCTACACCCCCACCATCTTGGTCTTTAAAGAACACATCAACAAGCCTGCAGATGTTATCCAGGTACGTGAGAGTCATCCTGTTGTGAGATTGCCCTCATGTTTTATCTTGAGCTTTGTGAACAGCAAAATTGAACAAGGCAAGTGAGGAGGAGAAATTCGTTTTGAAGTTCTTCCTTCAGAGGCACAAAATTTAACAATGAGTTTGGTTTTCATCTGATTTGGTACTATCTTGCTCAAAAAAAAACAAACAAAACTCTTCCGGCAGGAACTAGAATGATGGTAACTCCAGGGCCCAGGGAGGAAGATACAGGGGGTTAGTGTTTAATGGGTACACTTTTGGTTTGGGAAGTGAAAAGGTTCTACAGATGGACAGTCTGGACATGGCTGCACAGGAGTGTGAATATACTTCATGTCACAGAATTATGCCCTTGGAAATGGGTAAAATGGTCACTTTTACATTATGTGTATTTTGCCACAAAAATAAAATAAGAACCAATAATCATCTTTTCCCTCTAAAGTGCTTCTGTCAGAAAATCAATAATGTTCTTCTAAAATAAGTTACACAAATGAATTCAAAAGTCAAATGTAAAACAATAATAAAAAGGAGTTAAAAAAACCATAAACTGGAGCGCCTGGGTGGCTCAGTCGGTTGAGTGTCCAGCTTCGGCTCAGGTCATGATCTCATGGTTTGTGAGTTCAAGTCCCACGTCAGGCTCTGTGCTGACAGCTCAGAGCCTGGAGCCTGCTTTGGACTCTGTGCCTCCCTCCCTCTCTGCCCCTCCCCTCCTTGTGCTCAGTCTCTGTCTCTCAAAAATAAATAAACGTAAAAAAAAAAAAATTTTTTTTAAAAACCTTAAACTAACTCGGAGACCATATACATGAATATTTATCTGATCTTAAGATAAAGAAGAGCTAAAAGTCTTATTGGAAAATCTTAACTTGATTATAAGTTTAAAATTTGCACATACTTTATAATTTTTAAGTTAAA